GTCAGGCTACTTTGAGTTAGTTGGCTTCAAAAATGTAACACCAGCGAACCTGGATAACCGGCCTCATGAACAGTTGACTCTCTTACCCAGCATTTTCTTGTTTTCTAGACCAGAGGACGTTATGATATCAAACCATTCATAGAGGGTGTCAACAGATAGGCCTCTTCATTTAATATCAGATAAGATAGTTCAGTTCAGCTCAGTGGTCAGCAAATTTTATAAAACAGTTGACATGCCTACTAGTAGCCTAGTAGTCTGCTCTAAAAGTGGGTATAGGAGGAAATGGATGATTAACTTTGTATTCTTCCATCAAGATGAACAAACCATTATGATGAAGAATTACACGCTCCAGATACACACACACCAATCAGCCATAACAATAAAACAGGTGACTGCTTTTAATGTTTTTGACTGAGTCAAGCCATGAAGCCGTGGAAAATAATTCAAACCACATATTAAGTTTTAAATCAAATTAGTAATGGTTCAGAACAAACTCTTAAAACAGGCCATGGATATACACCAATCAGCCACAACAATTACAACAGTTAACTGTTTTATTGTTGTGGCTGATTGGTGTATGTGTCACCTGAATGTGTGAAGATTTTACATTCGAGTAACTGATATTAGTTAGAAATCATTTAATTGGGCTAACCTGCCCAATCCATATCTTAAAATAAGCTAATTTGCTAATTAGCTAATTGGTAAAGGTGGCACCAATCTTCACATTTAACTCTCTGTAAGAAAGCAAATAAGCCTTTTTTTCCCCCAAATTGTCACATGAGAGAAAAAGAGGTGCTGGGTGCAAAACAGTAAAACAGAGGGAAATATAAGGTCAAGAGAGACAGAGAACTTAAAAAAAAAAAAAATCCCTAAAATTAGCCGGGCAGAGTCAACAGCGTCATTACTCCTTGGAAGGCTTTTGCTGCAAGCTGTAGTGGTGTATGTTATTTAGCTCTCATGGCTGCATAGTAGGAGTTATGAATCAGAGCCGCTGTCTCAGTGAGCTGTTTTTATTAATGGGCTTTGGGAATACCCCAGAGGAGCTACAGCAGTAAGCATACAGTATCCCACACATACAGAGATGTGCCATGTACACACACAAAGCCATACAGGGCATACAGTATATCCCTTCTGCTCCATCTCTATACGGTGGCGGTGAATGAAAGATTGTTTGTGGTGCTCAAAGTTTAAAAAAGATTATAGTTGAATAATTTGTTTATACAGAAAATATATCTCTGAATTATCCAGAATAACTGGGATAAGCAGTACAGTACTGGGTTTGTGAGCAAGCAAGATGGAGGATCGGCCTCGACGTAATATATATATATATAGCACACACATTTTTCTTTCTGTCCTCTTGCAGCTATCCTCTTCTCACCATCTTTCTCATCATCACTCACTCACACTTCCACTTCCCACCCAATTTTTCTTTTTTCTTTCTTTCTTTTTTTTTTCTTTTTTTTTTTATCACTGTCCATGCTTCGGTTGCAGATGTCCCGTTTCCTTTTATTGCTGCTCCATCACATCAAGTTAGAATTACCTCACCTGACATTTGAAGGATACGAGCAGTGGCACGGAAAAGAGAAAGATTAAACAAGTGGCTTTGTCGGCGGGGGGAGGAGGGAGTGGGAGGATGCTGGGATAAAGAGAGTGTAGGAAGAAGCGAAGGAGAAGGATTGATGAAGTGTCAGGTGCTGGCAGGTAAATGTTTACAGCAGCAGGAGAAGGAGACTCAGATTCCATTCATTCTGCTCTTCATTCATCCAACCAGAAGTTCTCTTTTTTCCTTTACAAAGTCGATCTTCTGTCATTATTTGCATCTTCCTGGCAGCTGGAAACATTTAACTAGTGTGTGTGTGTGTGTGTCTATGCATGTGTGTGTGTGTCTGTGTTTGTAAAATGTTCTGTAATAAAGCAGCATTACGTCATGCCTCAAGAGATGCTGGCAGAGGATAAACACTGGTCTCCCTGGTATCTCTTCTCATCTTACTCTCTCTCATTTCTCATTTCACAGAATACACACACACACACACACACACACACACACATACATACATTCATTCACTTGGGAAACATACATTCACATACACACACCATTAATGATTACATGCAGTTTTTTATCGATTTGCTAATACACAGCAGTTCCTGCACAAAGCACACAGTCCTGCAGAAAACAACTTATGCATTTGAATGTGCAAAAGACTCAAGAGGCTAAAAATTCTAAACTGTATATTTCAACTACCAAAAAACACACACATACTTGTCAGATATACACACACACACACTCACATAGGGTCAGAGGTTCAGTTTTGCCCCAGAGATCAAACTTTTGTAGTCTGCCAACGTAGCCCTCAGTAACTTAAGCCCGCTCTTTTTCCTCTCTGATTGAACTGCTTTTGACCAGAATAACAATCCAGACCAAATTGTCTGTAAACTGTTGCCCAGGAAAGACGGGACTGCTTTATGGAAAACAATATTGTGATTCCCACAAAAACAAGAAAATTTTGGCCCTCGACAGTTTGAACCCAGAAATCTGTTCTGTTTTAGGGAGTAAAAATATACATAGCAGGAAAACGGAGAAGGAAATATGCGTGCATGTTGCGGATGGCGGTTGGGTTGTTTATATGGGAGGATATAGCATAGCCCCAGAGTCCCTCAGGGCCCATAAGAGCTATGTGTTTGTGAAACAACAGAAACTGGGAGGGAGGGGGTATGGAAAGAGAAGGAGGCTGATGCAAAATACCCCGTAATGAATTCGACAAGGTCTTCAGTGGGTTGTGGGGCACAACAAGAGGAAGCAAAAGAAGAAAGTGAAATAACAACAGTAAAGTTAAAAAGGTCATAATCATGTGTCCTAAATTTCCCAATGCTTTTCTCAAATTGCAGTTTTATAAACGTTTATAGTGAAGTCCCATTACTCTGAGTCCACATTTGAGAATGTAACTGAGCGTATGTGCATATTTATCTCAGCATTTGTGTGTCATCAGTATGCTGTCATATAAGAACCATGAAATTATGTCCTCTTAAGTGACCAGATGGCTGCAAGTGTGTGTTTGTGTGGGTGTCTGTGTGTGAAGGGGGGGGTGTCCAGATGGACATGTGCATGGGTGTGATTTACAGAACAAGTGAAGTTGCAATATCCAGTCTAAAATAACTGCAAAACCCGAGCTCACATCATGCTATCCTTCATTTAACCTGCACTAATTAACTACTGAAAATGAGTAGTGACTGAAATGAACTGACATCTCTACAGTGTAAACATGTTATGTCAGTCCTTTCTATTGTGTAAATGTAAACCCTTGATGACACGCAACTGATCTACTCTTGTTTAAATAGTTTAGTAGTAGTAGTTTCATGGTTTCTTAGCCTTTATGTCTTTTGTTGTGTTTTAAATATAACCCAGTTAAGTGACGTCAAACTGAAATCTCTGATGGTTCTGATTCCTTCCATCCTCAAAACTAGGCGAACTATTCAGTGCCTTCTACTTCTCCTACTGTAGCTGTTATGCTCAGAATTAGCACTTGAAATATGACGAGGTTGTAAGAGTTATGTGCCGATACCAGAGTACAAAGCAGCCCTCGCTTCTAGATATTTACATAGGTCATACTCAAAAGTTTGATTAGTGTATGGAAATGAGCCATACTTATAGCCATGCTATCAGCTCTGTGAGGCTGCACATACTGTAGCCAGAGTGGTGCTTTGAGCTGAATCCTAACATGAGCATGCTAACATGCTCACAGTACCACTGCTATAATGTTTCTGGCGTGTTAGCCATATACAGTCTATGGTGTTAGCTTGCTAACACTTGCTAATTAGCATTAAACACAATGTAGGGTACAGCTGAGGCTGATGGGAGTGTCATTAGTTTTGCCATTTGTCATTAGGTATGAGGTCATGAACCAAAGTATTGGACAACTTTTGACTTCATGATGGCTCCAGAGGAAAAGGCAGAGGATCATCAAAGTTCATCCCGGGGTGAACATGAATATGGGAATCAAATTTCACAACAGTCTGCACGACAGTTGTTGAGACATTTCACTCAAACCACAAATGTCAAGTTCATGGTTGTGCTGGAGGAAAAGTTGGATTCAATTGGAGTCAATAGCTTTCATTCTCTGGGAACCACAAATGTCTGTGCAAAATTTTATGCCAGTCCATCCAGTAGTTGTTAAATCGAGACCAAAGTCAAGATGTTGCCATCCCACGTTGCTAGAAGGCCTAAAAGGTGTGTAACACTGCTAAATATGCGTCTATATTTTACAAAAGATTGTCCATCTGTTAACTATGTATGTAGACAAAGCCAGCAGTGAGGCAACAAGTGACTCAACAGGGCTGTTATGTGGCAGTTCTGGCCGTTAATATGTACGTACATCTCTGCGTCGCGAGTAAAACCCTTGATCATTACCAGGGGCTGTCATGTGCACCAGTTCCCCTACAATGAGCCTCTTGGGCTCACACAAGGAGGGAGCTGAGAGTTGATCAATATACAACAGCCAAGCCTCACACACAGGCATGCACAGACACACATGATCTCACACAGAATGTGCTCCTTATGCAACATGGGCTCATTGTACGTGTTATTCATAATCGAGGAGACGCTTGATTATAGACCACTGTCGCTCTTTTCTCTTTTATACTCACAAGACAAAAGCTACAGTGGGAACAATGCAGACATCAGCACTAAGTGCTGTTGCACGTTAATGTGTTCCTGTCTATATTTAGTGGAAGAACAATTGAAACAATAGGCTTTTTGCTTTGTTTGTGTGTCTAATCACCAAGAGCAACTGTTTGCGTTGCTGCAGAATTTGTGGTAGTGGGTGGTTTATGGATCCGTGTTGTTGAACTTAATGAGATGTATTCATTGAATGTGTCATTGGCAACAGGAAAGAAAGAATACAACAGATCAATATTGATGACAGCCATTGTTTGAGTAATTGTTTCAAAAGGATTTTGCACACATTGCTCACCACAACCTCCTCTCTTTCTCTCTTGTGTTACAGAACTCCATCCGGCACAACCTCTCCCTCCACAGCCGTTTCATTCGCGTCCAGAACGAGGGAACAGGAAAGAGTTCCTGGTGGATGATCAACCCCGAGGGAGGAAAGGGTGGCAAGGCTCCTCGCCGCCGTGCAGTCTCCATGGACAACAGCAACAAGTACACTAAGTCCGCCCGTGGCCGTGCTGCCAAGAAGAAGGCAGCACTGCAGGCTGCAGCTGCTGCAGCAGGTGAAGGAGGCGGGGACAGTCCTTCAGGTCTCTCTAAGTGGCCTGGAAGCCCGACGTCACGCAGCAGTGAGGAGCTGGATGCCTGGACAGACTTCCGCTCCCGCACTAACTCCAACGCCAGCACTGTGAGTGGTCGGCTCTCACCCATTCTGGCCAACCCTGAGCTAGATGAGGTGCCCGATGATGAGCCCCCTCCCTCGCCTATGTTCTACTCCAGTCCTGGCAGAGCACTGTCTCCCGGCAATGCCACGACCAACGGGAAAGCTGTGCCGACCGAGCTGCCTCGCCTGGCAGACCTGGCAGGTACAATGAACCTGAATGATGGACTCACAGATGACCTGATGGATGAGTTGCTGGATAACATCAACCTGGTGCCAACCACTTCCAGCCAGAACGCTCCAAATGGTTCCTCAGGGTTCAACTTTGGGTCCAAACCCAATGGGCTAGGCTCACCTTCCTCCACCTCCTCTCCATCCTCCAACTCTTCGTCTAATGGTGGAGGAAATGGCTACAGTAACTCCATCTTTGGCCCCCACACGACGGGTTCCTCTCTGCGTCCATCCCCCATGCAGACCATCCAGGAGAACAAGCAGACCTCCTTCTCCAGCATCAGCATGTCTCGCTTTGGCAGTCAGACACTACAAGACCTGCTCAGCTCTGACAGTCACAGCCACAGCGATGTCATGATGACCCAATCTGACCCGCTGATGTCACAGGCCAGCGCTGCCGCTGTCATTTCCCAGAACTCCCGCCGTGGCCTCATGCTCCGCAATGATCCCGTAATGACCTTTGGGACCACCGGAGGACTTCAGGGCAGCCAAGGGGAGATGCTGCAAAGTAACAACCACAACCAAAGCTCCCTGAGGTCTTTAAACGGAGGCCTGAACCTAGCCAATGAGGCTAACGTTCTGGCTAATGCCAAGCAGCAGCTCCTGCTCTCACCCTTGGGAGGAAATGGGTCCTCCTCCATGCAGATCGACACATCGATCTTCCTGAATGGAACAGTTAGCAACAGTGGAGGGATCTGTCAGGACCGTTTTCCAACAGATCTGGACTTGGACATGTTCAATGGCAGCCTGGAGTGTGACATGGACTCCATCATCAGGAACGAGCTGATGGATGCAGACGGCCTGGACTTTAACTTTGACTCTCTGGCCAACATGAACGGAGTCGGCAACTTCACTAGCACCAAGCAGACCTCTCAGAGCTGGGTACCTGGCTGAGAGGGTCAGGCCGGGAAGGAGCAGAGCAGGTATGTATGTGTCAGTGTGTGTAAATGATGTGGCATTTGAGAAAAGGTGAGCGTATTTTGATGAAGGAAATGGGGAATGCGCCAATCCAAGTTTTTCTCCCCCGATACCAGTTAGACACTCATACTAGTGGTTATTCAATTTTTTATGTAAAATCTGTAATGATTTGATGTGTACAATGTGTACGCTAACATGCGAGTATAACTATAAGGGCAATCATCGACCATGTTGTTAAGGTTATGAAATTGTATAACACGGTGCATAAACCTTATAACTACAGTCACACCATCACATTTTTGTCTAATACACAAACAGATCCTTCTCTCACTGTCCTGTGTACGTTTACAAAGAAAAGACTACCCTGAACCAAATTACATGCTTCTTCTTCTGTTCACCTAACCACTTCAGCTATGTTGCTTTGTCTTTTTAACCAGACCAAAACTGACTTGCTAAAGAACTTTGCCAGTAGTTTTTCCGCCATTTGCTAAAGGTTTATTTCTCAGCAAGCTTAGTTCAATATGTAATAAAATGTATATTGAGTCCATGCAAAGTTTCAAAACAATATCTCCTATGCCAATAAAAAGTGTTAAAAAAGTCTTTATCTACTGTTTATGGGGTAAATCTTTGGAAATGTTAACAAACTGCTAAGGCCATTGTCAACACTTTACTGTGATGTTTCCTGTTTCACATTAAAATGTATTTATTGTGAAGCACAAAGTACCTGTAGTAGCTTTAAGTACATTAGCTTATCACTGCAAATGAACAGCATGCAACTGTATTTACTGTGCTTTGGTGATGTTTGGCCAACACCTGATCCACTTAATAAGGTCAGTATTACATCAGAGCTGATCGATGCATCCTTAGAAATGTTTGAATTTAGATCAGAAAATATTTTTTTTTTTTAAGGCACAAATAGTCGTAATAATATGATTGTCTTATCTCTTTTTCACTTTAGGTCTGAACTGTGTGGTGCAAGAGAAGATCAGACACACAACACCCTTTTTGCCAAACCTGCCATCAGCACAACGTAAAATACAAACCCTGTGTTTACAGAAGAAGACTTCCTCTCGAGAGCTTTACCTTCGCTCCCACACTGGTGAACCATGAACGATCCGACAGACTCTAGAGATGCTGCACACAAGCCCTCAAAGCCTCCTGTGAAACAACAACAACAACAACAACAAGAAAGCTATGTCAAACAATCACAACAAACTCACAAATCTTAGAATTATGCAATTTTCCTTTCGACACCCAGTCTGTTGATATCAAAGAGACTGTGCTTATCAGAAGGGGTTTCAGGTGGAATACAAGGACTAAATATCAAGCAAAGATGGAAGGAGTGCACGGTGCAGTTGTTCCCATTGAAGACAAAAAAAAAAAAAAGAAAAAGACAAAAGTGTAAAGTGAAAAAATCAAGAAGTGATATGGTGTAAATCTGATCAAGTGGTTTCCTGGAATGTGTTATGTTGAAAAAAATCCCTCTGTTCTCATTTAGTGATTTTAAACGTTCAGTGTTTGTTTTGTTTTTTTTGGGTTTTCCTGTATCTTACTCACTGAGCAGCCGCGCATCCAAATACATGCAAACACACATAACAGACAAAACTACACTTTGCCCCAGTTTGCAAGATTTCAGAACCTTAGAAGTTCTCAGTATAATGCCATGCACTTCCTGTTTTGTTCTTACAAATTGCTTGAATTTAACGTAACCGCAGCATACTGAGGGTTATATTACAATTAGCTGAATACTACAAAATATGTTTTCTCTTTTGTGTATATCTAACTGTAAAAAAAAAAAAAAAAAGTGAAAAAAGACTATAGGAAGAAAATCTGTCATGGATGTTTGTACAGTGCAGGGCAGTGGAAAGTTCAAGAAGGAGGGAGGGGAAGATACCGACTGTCTTTTCTTAGGTTTCTTAGCTTCTGGTGAGGTCTGTCGAGGTCGTTTATCACAGCATATGATGTAGCCAAAATGAATACCTGTGTCCTAGGGTTGTGAACATTTCCACACCATAACAGGTGCTATGTAAACAGTGTTGAATCCTGTCCTGAGAGCAAGCCGTGCATTTACTTTCGTTTTTTTTGTTTGTTTGTTTGTTTGTTTGTTTTTGTTTTTACCCATGACCTGCAGAAGCCCAAAGCTGCAGCCACTTGTAGCACGGCAAGGTCGAACCTGTAGACGGCGGGTGGGTGGGGGGGCAGGGTTTTAGGCTCATTCCTCTAGAAGCCATTTGTTTCTTGAGTAAAACAATAAGCTATCTCTGTATATTGCCAAATTACTTGAAACAAACAGTAGGATATGCTGGCAGCCAAATCGCAGCACGCACACACACATGCACACACAGACACACACACACACACACACATATATACACACACACACACACAGACACGTACATATATTACACACACATAGAAAAAATAATACCAGGGATCTGTGTTAAGCTCTGCTGTTTTCTTGTCATGAGCTTGTGGGGCTTGTTATGCATATATAGAACCACTCAGGGGGGAAAAGGGAGGCTTCCCATTTAAGTAACATCAAGTCACATTCTAATGGTATTTTAACATTTCTTGATAAAAACAGTAATGCTTTGTGTTGGTGAACTTGTAACCTGTGAACTTTTGGCCGCCATGATGAAGAGGAGGAAGCAAGATCAACGTCAGGATTAAGACTTCACGCGGTCTGTTATTTTTGGTTTTGCTGTCATAGGTTTTTGTTTGTTTTTTTTTTCCCTCTTGTCGGACTTGTGACACACATACACACATCCCCTCATGGACACGCCTGGTGCTCCTGCAGGTGACTTCCTGTATCTCCTGAGTATGTGTCTGTGTGTGTATGTGTGTGTATGTGTTCATCTGTGGCGTGTATTTCTGTTGAACTAATCTCACGACGATGTGTAATCCCTCACTATCCCTCATGGTGCATACAGCACGGCCGACTGTATGCATGTATGTATTTATGCATTATGAATTGTGTGAAATGCATATATACTCGCTGTATGTCTTTATATACTCATGTAGTACTTGACCCTTGGATTTTGTAATACCTCTGAAGGTAAAGTTGAAGGAATAATGAACAACGTTACACGCCAGGTAGGAGGGAACACTGTTACCAGCGATTTAATTCTTGAACCAGATTTTGTAAATGGTGGAAGAAGCACCATTGTTGTAGCATGTTGAGACCCTGGTACCCCTTCTCTGTCTGGGGTAGTGACATGAAGTGTATGCCCCGCTGTGTATAATAGTGTACAGATGTGTGTATATCACTTTGAGGCCAAGGGAGAGGAGTGTGTGTGCATGGTTGGCTAGAATGATCTACTGTGCTATCTGAGGTTTAGTGCATGACATAGCTGTACCCCCTTTGACCCTGCCAATGGTGCCGTCCCTCGACAGAAATTGTAATACAGAGAGGAACCCTGTGTCTTCAGCACGCAAACGCACACTCTGTTTCAATTTTTCAAATCAGGGCTTACAGAGCAGCACTTGAACCATCCTCCTGCATTGATGGGTTTACTATTACGAGTGTGTGCACTTCGTCGCAGACGCAGAGGAAGCCTCCTTAACGGACGTCCCTCAGCTTCACGCTCCTTTTATTCCCCATGGAGTACAGCAGGCTCACGTCCCGGTGCTCTCATTTGAGCTGTTAGTTATGACCTTAACGTGGTTGAAGCATCATCTGACTATGAGCTGGAATTCCCTACATCTTGTCACATATAAAATTTCCAGAGCATTATCACCTTTACTTTTGGCAGGGAGAATCCTGAGCCATCACCTGAACTGCTAAGCATTTGAATTTATCTACACTGACTGTACTAAATATTACTTTAATCCTCCTGTGAAGGCGACGGACAAGGTGAATCCAGGGAACGCTGTAATCCTTTCTATTTAAAGAAGAGTTATTGATCCCTGATAAACTGCAAAGGGGATCTCAATCACAGGAAAGTGTTGCTAACATTTTGTACATTCAGTTTAAAATGTTTCGGCTCTTCGGGGAGATAGTTTACACTTAGTCATAGTGGAGCAGGCCCTCCACACAGTCACTCAGTGCTACTGCTTCATTCAGGCACAGATTATCTGTTCTTGTGCTGAACACACACACACACACACACACACACACACACACCTGCAGCACAACGTGCAAATTTAATGCTAAGAAAAGCAAAAAAAATTTTAGAAGAGACATACCACTAGATACCTTAATCACCTCTTGGACGTTTCCTTTTCATTATCTTCTCTTGAACCTTTTCCATCCTTGCTAAGGGCCAGCTCCCATCCATACGCCCTCTGAACTTTGCCCTTTGAACTTTGCCCTTTATTAATCTTGCTTCTTCTCGACTTGATGTTAGTGGGTATTTTTCCTGTGTATTCCATTTTGAATTGTAATCTAGTTTGTATAAGAAATGGTGCGCATGTAAATAAAGCTTGGTGAGGCTCCACACCCCTTCTGTGTCCTTGTCTTAACTTATTTTATTGCTGTAAAAATATGAACATATTAGAAGTACATAAATTTCACGAGTACTGTGGAAGCACAGGGCCGCTGTTAACAGCTCATATTGCCACGAGAGGAATTTTTCAGCCCAGCAAGGAAAATGTTACAACTCTTGTCTGCCTTACATGTGCTGTTAATTCACAAGTTAACTTGCCAACTGTTTTTCAAAACAGTGTGTGTGTGTGTGTGTGTGTGTGTGTGTGTGTGTGTGTGTGTGTATCAGAAAGCCTGTGCGTGAACAAATTTAACCTCACACCCCCTCCCGAACTCTTTCTTGTGTCAGAGTCTGGAGGGATCTAAACAGCAAAACAACTCCATGTTCTTCTCAAGTTCCTGGAAGTCCTCTTGCACAATGTTTGTTTTGTGGAAGGCAGCATTAAACGAGAGCAGACGTACTGCAACCCCCTGATACCTGACACTGGGCTGGGTACTTTTCCTCAGCTGTTGCGAAACATATGAAGGGAAAGGGAGAGGGGAGAACAGTCAGAAATGGGGTGTTGTCAAGTTACTCTGCAAAGTCTTTGCTTGCATGTCTGAAACCTCCCCCAGGCCTCCACGCCAAATATTAACACAGACCCTGGCCGGCCGCTCTGCTGACAGTCTTGGCCTTACTACTCCTCTTGCCTTCCCCCCCTGTTCAGAACAACCAATAGACCCACTCCCCTACCAGAGGTCAAGCCTGCTATCATAAAAAGATTATTCAAGGTTAACCTGTAAGTTTATGTGTGTTTTGTATCTTAAGGGTTAGTTGGGATTGGAAAGGGTTGGAAACATTCTTGTGGAACCTTTAAAGAAATGTTCAGACTGCAGAATTTATGGGAGCATTAGAATTAACAGAGCACAGCATCTGTTTTATCTTCTTAGGGAAACTAAACGAATCAACAGTGTTAATGAAAGCTTGGCTTCTCAGTTAATTAATTCCAATCAGATTCTGAAGTCAGGACCACTTACGGGATTTAATGCCATTTCGTAAGACCCAATTATATTAATGGCATTTGGTAGATGTCCTATCTACCAAATGTTTCAGCTCTTTTGTCTTTTACACTAGCTGCAGGTGCACCCCATATCTATCACTGGAACACCAGAAATACACAATATATACAAATAGAAAACTGAAAAGAACTAAATTGCTTAAAAGTACATATTTTTCCCTTATGACCACAAGAATATCACACCATCTTATTGTCTTGATGATGAGCACACCAATGGAAAGCTGAACAAGAAAACAAAAAGTTAAACTAAAACCAAGGGGTTTCGTTTTTAGTTAAATGCACAAATACAACATGAAAAAGGTTAAAAGTTTGATGTCTAGTCAGAGTCTAGTCATTTCTGTGGTTGTACTGAGGCAATTCAAACTTATGACCCTGCTATTCCTTTTTTTTAAAACATATTTTTGGGCATTTTAAGCCTTTATTACAGAGTGGTGAGGTGACAGTAAATGTGATGAGAGAGAGACGCAACAAAGGTTCTTGGCTGGACTCAAACCAGGGACATTGCCTTTCATCGTCTTAACCCATAAGCCACAGGGGCACCACATGATCTCAGTGTTTTTAAACT